TTCTGTGTGATGGAATGAGGTGTACCTATTTTCTTTTTGTTCTTGAGGCAGCTACCGCAACAACCAGTGAATTAAGAGCTGGATGTCTACAAAAATGAAAACCCTTTACATGACAGTTGATAAAGCTTGTCCAACACTTTTGAAAAACAGTCTGACCCATTTCAGGAACTAATTATATATTCGTGACCAGTTGCAATAAACCTTCCAATAGAGTGATTTTTGTTGTTGTAGGAAATATCTTATTTTGAAATAGTAAATTCGAAAAATTATTTCGAAATAATGCATCTACACACAAAATGCATTTCAAAATAGTGTTTGGCTATTTCGAAATAGCGCATCCACGCTGAGTGGACGCTGAATCGCATTTAAGAGCGGCCGGAACCAGGGCCAGCAAGGCATCAGGTCAGGAGTTACTTTGTGTGGCTGCTTCCTGATGCTATCTGAGGCCTGTGCTTAAAGGGACCCTCCACTCCCACACAGCTGGTTCTCAGTTTCCCTGCTTGCTTGTCTACCTCAATAAGGGACATCAAAGCATTTTGTCTCTGCATGCTCTGGTTGCCCTCACTCGGGATACCACAGCACTCTGCAACATGGAGCCAGAGCTGCCCCTGGGCACTCTGGTGTTTCTCGTGGATGTGTTGCTGTGAGCCTGGCTGCACTTTCTGTAGGCTGCCATCTGGGAGATCCAGTGGGTGGGAGGGTGTTAGTATCCAGGAGGCTCTGCAAGAGAACTTCCACCCTCAGGAGCAGTAAGAGCCTCCCTGGTCTTCCCCACTGGGGGCTTGTGCCTCATTCCTCCCTCACATCCTTCCACTTATCCCTCCCTAACCCCTCTTCATAATGTCAAATAAAATACATGTATTTTCATTAACACAAACTCTCTTTATTTAATAAAACTGGGGGTGGGGGATGAAACTCTGGTGAGACTGGGGAAAGGAGGTGGGAGAGGGGAAGAAAGAAGGTGGGAGAGGGGAGAGGGAAACCTGGGAGGAGGAAGCTGGAAGGGGGAAGCAAGGGGAAGAAGGGAGAGGGGAAGTCTCCGGGACTGGATGGCATTCATCCAAGGGTTCTAAAAGAACTAAAATGGGAAATTGCTGAGCTATTATCTGTGGTTTGTAATCTATCCTTTAAATCGGCTTCCGTACCTAATGACTGGAAGGTAGCCAACGTGACACCAATATTTAAAAAGGGCTCTAGAGGCGATCCTGGCAATTACAGACCGGTAAGTCTAACTTCAATACCGGGCAAATTAGTCGAAACAATAGTAAAGAATAAAATTGTGAAGCATGTAGAAGAACATAATTTGTTGGACAAAAGTCAACATGGTTTCTGTAAAGGGAAATCCTGTCTTACTAATCTGTTAGAGTTCTTTGAAGGGGTTAACAAACATGCGGACAAGGGGGAATCCAGTAGATATAGTATACTTGGATTTTCAGAAAGCCTTTGACAAGGTCCCTCACCAAAGGCTCTTGTGTAAATTACATGGCCATGGGATAAGAGGGAAGGTCCTTTCTTGGATTGAGAACTGGTTAAAAGACAGGAAACAAAGGGTAGGAATAAATGGTAAATTTTCAGATTGGAGAGGGGTAACTAGTGGTGTACCCCAAGCGTCAGTCCTGGGACCAATCCTTTTCAACTTATTCATAAATGATCTGGAGAAAGGGGTAAGCAGTGAGGTAGTAAAGTTTGCAGATGATACCAAACTGTTTAGGATAGTCAAGACAGAAGCAGACTGTGAGGGACTCCAAGAAGATCTCACCAAACTGAGTGATTGGGCAACAAAATGGCAAATGAAATTTAATGTGGATAAATGCAAAGTAATGCACATCGGGAAAAATAACCCCAACTATACGTACAGTATGATGGGGGCTAATTTGGCTACAACAAATCAGAAAAGGGATCTTGGAGTTATCGTGGACAATTCTCTGAAAACTTCCACGCAGTGTGCAGCAGCGGTCAAAAAGGCAAATAGGATGCTAGGAATTATTAGGAAAGGGATAGAAAATAAGACACAGAATATCTCACTGCCCCTGTATAAAACTATGGTACGCCCACATCTTGAATACTGTGTACAGATGTGGTCTCCTCACCTCAAAAAAGATATTTTGGCCTTGGAAAGGGTTCAGAAAAAGGCAACTAAAATGATTAGGGGTTTGGAACGGGTCCCATATGAGGAGAGGTTAAAGCGACTGGGACTTTTCAGTTTAGAAAAGAGGAGACTGAGGGGGGATATGATAGAGGTTTATAAAATCATGAGTGGTGTGGAGAGGGCCGATAAAGAAAAGTTATTTATTAGTTCCCTAAATAGAAGAACTAGAGGACACCAAATGAAATTAATAGGGAGCAGGTTTAAAACTAATAAAAGAAAGTTCTTCTTCACACAGCGTGTAGTCAACCTGTGGAACTCCTTGCCAGAGGAGGCTGTGAAGGCTAGGACTATAATAGAGTTTAAAGAGAAGCTAGATAATTTCATGGAGGTTAGGTCCATAAAAGGCTATTAGCCAGGGGATAAAATGGTGTCCTTGGCCTCTGTCTGTCAGAGGCTGGAGAGGGATGGCAGGAGACAAATCGCTTGATCGTTGTCTTCGGTCCACCTTCTTTGGGGCACCTGGTGCTGGCCACTGTCGGTAGACAGGATACTGGGCTAGATGGACCTTTGGTCTGACCCAGTACGGCCGTTCTTATGTTCTTATGAAGCTTAGGGCTGGGGGGGTCTCACCTGACCAACTTGATTTTCATGCAAACCTGCTCCTGGGTTCGTATGTAGCCTTTGGTGGCCAGGCTGGCAACTATCCTTCCATAGACAACTGCATTCCTCCATCTAGTGCGGAGTTCATGGACATTGGGGGCATCCCTCCCAAACCTGAATAAGGTCCATGATCTTCACCCTGGACCAGGAAGGCGCCCACCTGTTCCGGGCCCTGGCAGGCTTCTGGGAGCTGGCACACTGCTCCTGGGGAGTGGTGGAGGGCTGGCTGCCAGTGGTTTGCTGGCTCATGTTTTGGGGCCACTGGGTATGGGGCAGTGACTGCTGGCTCTGAGCTGGCAGGTTTGGAGCTGGCACAGGCACTGTGGCCAGAGTCAACCCCTTTAAGGGCTCTGGGTAGTGGGGAGGGAGTGGGGTGTTCTTGGTTGAGGCTGGAGTGGCCACCAGGGTACCCTGGGAAGGCTGGAGGCTCCCTATTTCTATATGTGTCTACACAGCACTTATTTTGAAATAGCTATTTCGAATTTGGCATTATTCCTCGTGGAATGAGGTTTACCAAATTCGAAGTAAGCGCTCCGCTATTTCAAATTAATTTCAAAATAGCGGTTTGGCTGTGTAGATGCTAGTCAAGTTATTTCGAAATAACTTTGCTGTGTAGACATACCCCAATTCATCCTTTAATTCCCTTATTTTTTTCCTGCAAGGATCCCTGACAGCAGGTTCTGGTTTATGTGCTTAGACCACCATTGTAATTGTGGAAGCGTATGGTATTGAAGAATCTGGTGTGTC